TAAGCATAGTATCATCAGCAAAAAGCAACTGTGTCAATTCCCATTTTGTATTTGATTCCCCATAATTTAATCCCACCCCTCTCCCAAACACCTTAGCATTTACTTCTTTTACAACCCTATCTATAAATATATTAAACAACCAAGGTGACATTACACATCCCTGTCTAAGACCTACTTTTACTGGAAAGTAGTCGCCCTCTCTTCTACACACCCTAACCTGAGCCTCACTATCCTCATAAAAACTCTTTACAACATTTAGTAACTTACTACCTATTCCATATACTTGCAACATGTGCCACATTGCTCCCCTATCCACTCTATCATATGCCTTTTCTAAATCCATAAATGCAATAAAAACTTCCCTACCTTTATCTAAATACTGTTCACATATATGCTTCAATGTAAACACTTGATCTACACACCCCCTACCCACTCTGAAATCTCCTTGCTCATCCGCAATCCTACATTCTGTCTTACCTCTAATTCTTTCAATTATAACCCTACCGTACACTTTTCCTGGTATACTCAGTATACATGCTCTCCGCCAATCCCTAGGTACCTTCCCCTCTTTCATACATTTATTAAACAAAACTACCAACCATTCCAACACTACATCCCCCCTGCTTTTAACATTTCTGTCATGATCCCATCAGTTCCAGCTGCTTTACCTCCTTTCATTGTACATAATGCCTCATACACCTCCCCCACATTCACATCCTGTTCTTTTTCACTCCTAAAAGATGGTATACCTCCCTGGCCAGTGCATGAAATTACCGCCTCCCTTTCTTCGTCGACATTTAAAAGTTCCTCAAAATATTCTCGCCATCTACCCAAAACCTCCATCTCTCCATCTACTAACTCCCCTACTCTGTTTTTAACTGACAAATCCATACGTTCCCTAGGCTTTCTTAACTTGTTTAACTCCAAAATTTTTTCTTATTTTCATTAAAATTTCTTGACAGTGCCTCTCCCACTCTATCATCTGCTCTCCTTTTGCACTCTCTCACCGCTCTCTTCACCTTTCTTTTACTCTCCATATACTCTACTCTTCTTATAACATTTCTGCTTTGTAAAAATCTCTCATAAGCTAACTTTTTCTCTTTTATCACACCCTTTACTTCATCATTCCACCAATCACTCCTCATTCCTCCTGCACCCACCCTCCTATAACCACATTCTAATACTGCATTTTTAAAACTATTCCAACCCTCTTCAACCCTCCCACTACTCATACTTGCACCAGCCCACCTTTCTGCCAATAGTTGCTTATATTTCACCCGAACTTCCTCCTCCCTTAGTTTATACACTTTTACCTCCCTATTGCTTGTTATTTATATATGTATTTATTTAGTATATCATAATCATATATGACTTGTATAAATTACTAAATTTAAAAAAAGAAACTTTCGTTTTTCTTTTTGAGCCACCCTGCCTTGGTGGGATACGGCCGGTTTGCTAAAAAAAAAAAAATCATATACGACTTAAGCTATTTTTGATTTTCGATGGGCTTGTTGGAACGTAACCCCATTGAAAGTCAAGAAGCACCTGTACTATGCACGACTGGTCTCCACCCAACAAAGATCAATTTCAAATCCATAATTCTTTACCAATCTCTACTAAACAAATGTGAGCCCACCACACGTTCATAACGTGAATATTCACTAAATATGATTGTATGTGATAAAAACTGAGAAAAAATAATAAATATAATTCAGCATAAAACCATAATTTTTAAACCAATAGTTCTTTACCAAATCTCCAAACAAATATGAACATTCACAAACTATCAGTGAGCATATGCAAACTATAAGTGAGCATACAAAAGCTATCAGTGAGCATACGAAAACTATCAGTGAGCATACGCAAACTATCAGTGAGCATACGAAAACTATCAGTGAGCATACACAATCAGTGAGCATACACAAACTATCAGTGAACATACGCAAACTATCAGTGAGCATACACAAGCTATCAGTGAGCATATGCAAACTATCAGTGAGCATATGCAAACTATCAGTGAGCATACACAAGCTATCAGTGAACATACGCAAACTATCAGTGAGCATACACAAGCTATCAGTGAACATACGCAAACTATCAGTAAATACGTATACATAAACTATCAGAGAGCATACAAACTATGTGCGAGCATACAAACTATCAGTGAGCATACACAAACTAGCAGCGAGCACACACAAACAATCTGCGAGCATATGCAAATTATCAGCGAGCATACACAAATGATCAGCGAGCATACAAACTATCAGTGAGCATACACAAACTATCAGCAAGCATACACAAACTATCAGCGAGCATACAAACTATCAGCGAGCATACACAAACTAACAGCAAGCATATGCAAACTATCAGCGAGTATACACAAACTACCAGGAGCATACGCAAACTACCAGCGAGCATACGCAAACTACCAGAGAGCATACACAAACTTTCAGTGAGTATATGCAAACTATCAGCGAGCATACACAAACTTTCTGCGAGCATACACAAACTACCAGCAAGCATACACAAACTACCAGCAAGCATACACAAACTACCAGCAAGCATACACAAACTTTCAGTGAGCATATGCAAACTATCAGCGAGCATACACAAACTTTCAGCGAACATATGCAAACTACTAGCGAGCATACACAAACTTTCAGCGAGCATACGCAAACTATCGGTGTGCATACGCAAACTATCGGTGTGCATACGCAAACTATCGGTGTGCATACGCAAACTATCGGTGTGCATACGCACACTATCAGTGCATTTGGTAAAAAACTAGCCAAGGAAAAATACTGCAGTACTGTACTTACAATTAGCTTTGACAAATCATAATTATATATCTTAAAGAGTATCTGACCAATCTTTACTAAATAAATACGAATCCTCCACACCAGAGGTCAGGGAACTAGGGTAAATTACCCCAAATGGGGTAAAAATGAAAATCTCGGGCTATGAAGGTTCAATAAACCCATAAATAAAACTACACAAAAATTTATTATTTAATAAGCAAGGCAAATTACAAAAGTTATGCAGTGGACCTCCGAATTTCGTGAGTCTCAAGTTTCGTGAATTTCAAGTAACAGCAACTTTTTTCATCAAAATATAGCCTCAAGCTTCGTGATTTGCCTCAAAATTCAACGGTCATACGGAACGCATCTAAGCGGCCTCCCAGCAGCCATCCGCACACAAACGCTCCCACACACCATTCAGAGTCAGTGTGGCATTGTTTCTCGGTGAGTGACCATCATCCCATGTGTTCATACGATACATTTCATAATAATCTATTCTTTTTTGTGCTTGCAACTGCTGAATAAGCCATCATGGGCCCAAAGAAACTTCTAGTGCCAGCCCTTTGGTAAAGGTGACAAACACGGTAGAATTAAAAAAAAAAAGTTTGTAGAAAAATACGAAAGTGATGGTGGCAGATAGTGGTAGCGGTTGTGATGGTGGTAGAGGGTGGTTGTAGTAGTGATAGTGGTAGAAGGTGGTAGTGGTTGTGATGGTGGTAGAGGGTGGTAGTGGTAGTGATAGTGGTAGAGGGTGGTAGTGATGGTGGTAGAGGGTGGCGGTGGTAGAAGGTGGCAGTGGTAGAGGGTGGCAGTGGTAGAGGGTGGCAGTGGTAGAGGGTGGTAGTGCTGGTGGTAGTGACGGTGGTAGAGGGTAGAGCTGCAAGAGCTCTCTGGACAGTTTTTTTGTGCGACAGGGATCCAGTGTCTCAAGCTGGTTCTAGTGCCATTAAAAGACAAAGAAGGGAAGTAACCCCGGATAAGGACCTGGTACCTAAAGTCTCTATGGAAGGGGATTCCCCTTCCAAACAATAGTGTAACTTCACCATCCTCTCCCCTCCTCCTGTCTTCCATACACCAACAAGAGTCTTCAATAAAGGCAAGTGTGTCAGTGTGATGTTATTGTTTTATACTTGATTTCTCATTCTTTTCTGTATGTAAATCTATATATAATTTATAAATAGAAATAATTTTTGTTAATACTTTTGGTTGCCTGGAACGGATTAATTGGATTTACATTATTTCTTATTGGGAAAATGGTTTTGAAATTCGTGAATTTCGACTTTCGGCAGACTCTCTGGAACAGATCAATCACGAAATTCAGGGGTCCACTGTATACATTTCTTTTTTCAAATAAATTTTAGTCTAGTGGGTAATTTCACTGTACAAATTTATTTTGGGGTAATACCCAAAAAAAGTTCGCCGACCTCTGCTCCACACAGACATAAAAAGAAGTACAAAAAAAATTTTATTTGATAAAACAAAATAACTGAGAAAAAAATAATGTTCATAATTAAGATCTAGCAAAATCATAAATCTAGTTTTTTGGCAATCTTTACCAAACAAATAATCAATAAGCATAAAATGAACATAGGCAAAATATGAAAGCATTTGGTGAATTTTTTTTAAAATAACTTCTCTCTGAAATTCTGATATGACTGTAACTACAGATCAGCATTTGTTGTAAAAAAAAAAAACTGGCTAAAATGCAGCATTTGTAGTAAAAAAAATTGGTCAAAATATAGCATGTGCACTAAAAAAATTAGTTAAAATTTATGTGTAGTCAAAACATTGTTTAAAATGAATGGTTAAAAAATATTGGTTAAAATGCATGTAGTCAAAAAATTGGTTAAAATGAAGCATGTGTAGTAAAAAAAGAAAAAATTGGTTAAAAATGCAGCATTTGTAGTCAATTGAGGAAATGATCAAGGAACTACTTTATACCAAATGTCTGCAAGATTTACTGTTCATTTTATGTCTCTATGAGATAGATAATGAAAATGAAAATTTTTATTTCCCTGCAAAACTTACAATGTGTGGTTTACATATTATAAGACATTAATTACAATGAAAGCCACTAGCATGCCTAGGCATTTCGGGCAGATTAATCCTAAAAGTATTGCTATTATTATTACAGTATACTCTCATAAAAGAGACGCTAAACCCACAGGGGTCATTGAGCGAGTCTTGGAGTAGATAACGTACCTGAGCGGCTCCACTTCAAGTAGCAAGTTAGCCATCTGTTCTCGTATATAGGAACATTCACGACTACGCTGATCATATGTAAGCTGCAGTTCCACATTACGTTGTTTCTCTCTTTCATAGTCAGCTACTATGTGCAGGAATTTGCTGAAAAAAAGTGCCAATTATGATTTGCACTTCCTACATAAGCTTTACTAAGCCAGATTATTATTATATTTAGAGGGAAGCACTAAACCCACAGGGGGTCATACAGCACCTGGGGAATGGGAGGTAATCAGGTTCAATTTAAGAAAGGGGAGGTCATGTCCAAATCCTTGGATCAAGAGCCCCTCACTAGCATCAAGGAACCTCTCGAGGGGTTAGTATGCCAGAATTTTTGTTACATACTGAAACTCTCAGGACTCAATAACATTAAACCACTAGATATTTTAATCTCTTACTTTCCACACTCCAAAAAATAATGAATGGGTTGAAAGACAGATCCCATCATTAAAGTAATGAAAAGCATTTTAATTATCAACTTAAATACTAGTACATGACACAAGCTAGTTCACCTGTGATGACAATGACACAACCAGTAAAATATCCACAACATATATTTTCCAAGAAGATACATTTATCGTCTTACTTTTGTAGTTAAATGGTAAAAGGCCATAGTTATGCAATGCATTTTGGGGCAGACTAAAGCTAAAACATACAACTACTTGTCACTGATTGCAGGGAGATGGTATGAATGTTAAATTTAACATAACTACAGTAAGTTCTCCCAAGATAAGATTTTTAAATTAATGGATTATTCTTGCATAATAAAATTCTATCTCCCTTAAAACAGCAATGCTGACATAAGTTGTTTGAAAATAAGATTATCAAATACAAGGACTGTACTGAGTAACCAAACTCAGTGGATAAGGACTGTTCTAAGTAACCAAACTAAGAATTTTTTTTTTTTTTTAACAAACCAGACATCTCCCACCATGGTAGGGTGACCCGAAAAAGAAGAAGTACTTTCACCATTATTCACTCCATCACTGCCTTGACAAAGGGGTGCTGATACAACAGTTCAAAACCACAAATATGCCCACCTCAACTGGCATCTGGATACACAAGTTTCATTACATTATAACATTAGACATTCATATTTAATCTTCGTAGATTATATCAAATTCAGGCATTTGTTTTTTATATTTCTGAAACAGTTGGAAGACACAAAACTTTTACAATATTCTGGTTGAGTTACATTTTTGGGTTTTTTCACACCTTTATAACTTAGGTTATCACATGCCTGGGATATTAAAAAGGTATTTGTTCTTGTAATGTGCATGAGCATCCTGTTGTGGCTTTCTAAGATGAGCTTTGAGGCAGGCTTAACTGTCCTGTTTACATAGTATGTTGTATATAATGTACATACAGCGTTCTGTTTATATATAGTATGCACAGAAGTAGGTATCGATGTTTTGAATGCCAAGTAAACATAAACTTTAAATACCAGTGCTTCCTCAACTGACAACATTCTAACAGCAGATTTTTGTGTTACAATGGGTTTTAGGCAGGGATGGGATGATAAATTTTTTGACAATACCAATGCACGCAGGCCCCGCTTTCCAACACTTTGCTTTACAGGGGTTCATTAGTACAGTGGTTTTCAATTATACCCATTCTTCATTAATTCAGTCTTCCTACAATAACTATATTCACCACTCAATATAAACCATGGCCGAAAATATTTTAAGGTAAGTAATGCATGTACTGTACTATATCCATTTTTTAGGCCTAGCTCTGTTGCTCACTTAATATATTATAGTGTAAACATGTTATCAGGCTTTTAAATGTATTTGAAAGTGAAAAAAAGCTAAAATTCACTTTACAACGACTTCTGTTTTACAACAGCAGCCCAAAACCTAACCTGCTGCTGCACAAGTGGAGCAGCTTCAAATCAAGCAGGAGAAAGCTGGTAGGCCCACATGTGAGAGAATGGGTCTGTGTGGTCAGTGTGCACCATATAAAAAAAAAAATCCTGGAGCACACAGTGCATGAGAAAAAAAAAATGACCGTTTTTTTTTTAATTAAATTGCCGACTTTGTGGTCTATTTTTGTATAGTATTTATGGTTGTATTCTCATTTTCTTGGTCTCATTTGGTAGAATGGAAAACATATTATAGAAATAGAAGTGATTTTGATTTGTGTTACTATAAAAAGAACCTGAAAATGGAGCTCAAAGTAGGGGAAATATTTGATTTTTGCAGATGTTCAAAAGTAAACAAATGATGTCATTCTCCAATAAATGTCCAACTAGCCATTCTAATATGCAGTCATGAATGGGTTGACATTATTTGTACAATTATTACAATATTGCAGTAGTCTGCATAACAGTAAATCTTCTATTTTTTGTGACTGATGAACAAAGAAAATGTTATTTTAGAGCCAGGAATGTCAGCATTGTTCATTCTGGACCCTATTTTGAAATTGTCATATTTTTTAATTTTCGTGAAATTGGCCAAATTGCAAATTTCTGACCACGTTATTGGGTAGTTGAAATCGGTAAATGGGCAGTTTCTTGTACTCAATCAATAGAAAAAAATGGAGTTCTAAAGAAATAGCTATGAGTTTGGTCGATTGGAACAATGGAATTAGCCAAAAATAGGGCTCAAAGTGGGCAAAATCGCCGATTTGTAAATATCGCCGAGGTTGCTAACTTCGTGAGAGCGTAATTCCGTCAGTTTTCCATCAAATTTCGTTTTTTTTTTTTTTTGGTGTCATTACAATCGGGAAAAGATTCTCTGTCATTTCGTAAGAAAAAATAATTTTTTTTTTTTAAATTTTGCGATACCAGAAGACACCTCAGGATTGGGGGTTGTGACAGTCAAGGGGTTAAGGAGGTTTCCGCTTTAAGGTGGTCATCACTCCTCTCTTCGTTTATGATGGCATCTACAGGTAGTTGTTAGAAACGATTAAATTCAGTGAACAAGGTTTGTCAATGGTAATAATATGGCTCTGGGCTATATAGGTAGGTGTAGGTATGTAGTCCAGGCAGACTACATAGCTACATCTACTGGCTACCTACACCTGACTGCCTACAGTGCGTGAGCGATAAAAAAATATAGAAAAATTATGGAAACTGAGTTATTCATATAGAAAAATAGCTCAACTCTTTGGCAACACAATGGTACAAGAATCAATGTTATACAACGTTTCTACAAGAAATTATATCAGGTATGGTGACGGCAATGTGCGTAGCGCGTCTGCTCTCAGCCAGTATATTTTTTGGATTTTTTCCTCGTTTTTTCTTGCTATTTCATGCATTATTCTTTCTAATATAATAACTGATGATTTGGCATCATATGAAAGTAGGCGGAGCTTATCGGTAGACTTCCAGCCAATCAGGAACTATCTGGGAACACTGGTGGTATTCCCACTCCAGAGAGAGGCAGGAGAAATCACTTCATTATTACGCTTATATCAACTCTTCGGCTTATTTATCTATCAGAATTGGCCTAATATGACATAATAAACACTATAAATAACATACAACATGTTATATACTCTAGACTGAATAAAATAAGCCATAATATGGCGAGAGTCCACCAGCAATATTCAATATAAAATAATTTCCCCTTCTCCCCACGTCATATTCTTTGGCCTTGAGTAAGAGAAAATGGTGTTTTGAAGAGGATAACTGCAGTAGAACACCAGTTTTATGAGGAAAACACCAAAACAAACGCGATTTTCACGGATTTTTTTTTTCCGAGATGAGGGGGGCCGGCCCGTGTTCCAGGTCAATATCTCGAAAATAAGTTATTGACTTATTTCACTTCACTACACTTTTATTATTTAATTAAGTGGAATAATATTCACAGAAATTGTAAAAAAATTATTGTTCTTATTTTTGATGGTGCACTTTTGGAAATATTCTAAATATTTTGGGATTTATGTGGGAGTAAAGGGCAGATTTTTTGCAACATTCTGAGAACAAACTTTATTTTTTTGTGAAATAAAGATAAGATATTAAGAGGAAAGGCCACTTTTAAAAATTCGTATTAGCATTGGTCTCTCGGTACCAAGTGCCCAAACAACCTTACGTCGTCCCATATAGGACTACCATCCTGCTGAATGGCATTTTCAGTAAATCGTTCTTTTTTCAGTTGTTATTTGAGGTATCTTATTGACAAATATTTACAGTAAACAGAGTAAATACTTCGTCTTGTGCACCAACAATGAAAGAAATCTGACGGAAAACAAAAAAAAATAAAAAATTAATTGTTCAACAGCCCCCTTATACAGTAGGGGCCCCACTTATATGGCAGGCTAGGTTCCAGGCTACCACCTTAAAGCAGAAACCTCCTTGAATCGGAACACCGTTTTTCCACATATAAATGCATATAAATGCCAGACAACAAGTTTACAATAACTTATATTAAGTTAGTAATAGAACTAGGCATTAAAAAGCACAATAAAAAGTAAAATACATACATATTTCCTCTTACCTCCATGGGGAAGTGGAACAGAATTCTTCCTCCATAAGCCATGCATGTTGTAAGAGGCAACTAAAATGCCGGGGGCAAAGGGCTAGTAACCCCTTCTCCTGTATAAATTACTAAATTTAAAAAGAGAAACTTGCATTTTTCTTTTTGGGCCACCCTGCCTCAGTGGGATACGGCAGCATTGTTGAAAAAAGAAGAAAAAAGTCTTTAATTTTTCTTTTTGGGCCACCTTACTTCGGTGGGATATGGCCGCATTGTTGAAAAAAGAAGAAAAAAGTCTTTAATTTTTCTTTTTTGGGCCACCTTGCCTCGGTGGGATACGACCGCTTTGTTGAAAGAAGAAAGAGTTTATATGCTATGTAACATGTTTCTTATATAATTTTGAAGAAAATGTCATAGATGGATTAATGAAAATGTCTATATTAACATAAAATAAGGCATTTAATATGCTCCAAAAAGATTATTACATACTATTAGTATTACTATGGTGTTAAGACTTGAGGGAAACTCTTAGTGATTTTAATGTGTACCTGCATGCCAGCACAGTAAGTATATTTAGATACAGATACGCATAAGTATTATTATCAGAGTACATATAAAATATAGTAGGGCCCCACTTACACGGCAGGTCAGGTTCCACGCTACTGCCCTAAAGCGAAAATCGCCTTG